TCAATTTCCTTATAGCGAATTTGTGGGTTAGATTAAGTCAAATATAGTTAGCAATGCATTCAATTGGAAAACAAAGATCCTTTTGCTGAATACAGTTGCTTTTTTATTTAAAGACAAGAAACAAAAAACACTAGGTAAGCACACCAAACACCAAAAACAGAATTAAATAAGATAAAGAAATGAACACTCAATTATACAGCAACTGCCAACTTTGGATTTTAGTAGTCTTCACTCGGGGGAAACAGAATCTCCTCAAGGAGGAAATTCTCTGTCACTGACATAAGCAGCAGTTCAGCAAGACATCCATCGCGTTTTTCCTTCAACAATTTCACCTCCTTTTCCTTATCTTCAGCAGCAGCATCCATCTCCCCATTTTCCGTCCTCAACTTACTTGTCTTGGCCCTCATGCGTACCGCTTTAGCTTCCATCTTGTTAACCACCTTCAAAGATCATTTTGGTCAGGAAGAAGCAAGACAAAATTCAATATATCATTTACGTAAGATGTTAATTAATTTGCTAAGAAAAATGCAGCTCATGCAGATCTATTACAACCTCGAGGGCCCGGCGCTTTTTGCCGACCAATTTGAAACTGCTCGCCTTTTTCTTCTCTGTGTTATTCAAGAGAAGTCAAAATCAGATTCCTTTTGATATTACCAACTAAATTTAATTAATTCAAAAGGAAAAAAAAAAAAAAAAGTACATCGATGAGGAAGAACCTTACCGATTTTTATGGCACCGGGATCGGTGGGTCTGCCGGGCGACGGTTGAGGATTGTCCATGCTCTGTGAATCTCTCCGTTGTCTTTGCTTCCACACTTACCCTCCCCTCCTGGCTTGAGGTGTTCATTTTATACTTTTTCCGTGAGAGGAAGAGAAACTGCGTGTGGGGGCCACACTATACACATTTTTCAATTTGCCCGGTAGGCCCGAAGGGGATCGCAAGGTTTTGATTCAAAATCGATCGATATTTGTGGACATCGCACGGTTTTTATCATAAAGTCATGAACAATCGGCAGTCAAACATCAGCACTTTCTTTAGCGACATGTAGCCATTGATGCTCAAAGTTAAATTTCTAATTGTATTATATAAATTAATGGCAAAAAAAAAAAATGTACTCCCTTAACTTATTTCTTAAGGATTAGAAAAATTCTTAAATTTATTCTTGAGTCTATTTAACTGGTGTTTTTTAAATGTCTATTAATTATATTTTTTTTATTAATATGCATAAAAAAATACAAAAATTAACTTTATCTCTCAATATTAAAAATACATGTGAGATTTTAAGTAGACAATGGATAAAATTAAATTTTCATATTTTTTTCATAACAATTAATGAGGAAAACATACAATGAATGCATTGTTAATTAACCTGGACACAAAATTTTTTAAAAAAAATTCCTCCATTAGGTTTAACAAGGAAGCTACTAACTTTGGTAGTTCTACTTTTTGAGATTTTTTTATTTTTAGACATGAATAATTAGATGAAATTTTAATATGTTATATAAATAATAATTAAAATTTTTTATTAAATAAAAATATTCAATAAAAACTTCATATTTGAAAACAAATAATTGTTTGTTCATATAAATTATTAAATTTTTATGTAAATTTTATATTTAAAAAGTTGAAAAATTAAATTGAGACCAGTAAAGTTAAATGAAAAGAATAATATTTTTTTAAGTACCAAAAAAAAAGGAATAATATTTTTATGGGTTTTTCCTAACCTATGTCACAAATTGAGATACATTAATTATACTTTTTTTCCTTACTCTCCCTTAACCCAATTTTAATAAACTTAATTTTTAAGTTGAACCATTTAAATTTTGTTTTTCATTTTTTCATTTAATATTATTTAATACATTTATTTTTAATTTACTTTTATTTTAAAAAAATTATTATAACGTATATTCTCTCCATTCCAAAAAATAATAACCCATTTTTTCCAGTTATTAGCTAATCTCACTTCACAGATGAAAAATCAAAGACGTTTTTTTGAAAGTGGTCTGCAGACTTTGAACTTTGAACGTTGAACTTTGAAGCGAAAAGAGATAAACCATCATTATTTAATTTTATGTATCTCTATCAAAGGCAACTGTCGTCATACAAAACTGTCAAAAGAAACTATGACAAACGAACAACTAATTTATAATAAGTCCAGGACCCCCATGTACATATATAATATAAATAATGATAATTAAGATTTAAGATAAATTCATAGCAAACATTTATTATGATACGGTTTCACACATATTATAAACTCAAATAGAATAATTTATTTGTAAAATTTTATCTCAAGAATTATTACTCTTCATATAACATAAGACAAAATTATGATATAAGGACTCAACTTGCCCAAAATTCATAATTTTGGATCCAAACTTCAATTACGCTCAATTAAACTACATGAAATTCTCAAATAAAGTCTTAATTAGATAGAATATTCTCTAACTGTCAAATACCTTGGATGCTCGTTAACAGTCCGGCACTCTCTCAGCCAATTGGATTGCCACATGAGAAAACATGAGGACTTGTCATTGCCACGTGGATGCCATAAATGGGTTCCAACTGCTTTTGAGGGAAATCCCACTAAAGAGAATTCACGTGGCACCGCATGGTAATGACACATCAACATGTTTTTCATATTAGTAATCCAGTTTGTTGAACAATTAACAACATTCAGGACATTTGATAGTAAGAGAATATTCTATCCAATTAAGATCTTATTTGAGAATTTCATATAATTTGATACCTTAATTGAGCACAATTAAAGTTTAAGTCTGAAATTGAGAATTTTGTGCAAGTTCAGGGACCTTTTTTCATACTTTTGCCTTTAATATTTAAATTAGCAGTTGAATGAGCTTCTTCTATGGAGCACTCAATTTTGGCATGAAATCATCATATGATTCTAATCTTGATGTTTTTCCTGAATCTCTGATCTAATATTAACTCTAACTTAGAAGGCACGACAAGTCTTAATTTGTCCATTTGAAAAGAAGAAAAGGGTAAGGCTTTCAGTGTCTTATAAACGGCAAACATAGAAAGATGAATTGGAAAATATTATTCCAGAACAAAAGAGATGCAAATTCCCGTTGCCTTTCCTCTGTTTTGTCCTCTCTTTGCCAGCAGCTTTAACCCCAAAAAAAAAAAAAAATGATCGACGATAAAATTTTACAATAAAACTTGGGATAATTTTTATTGATCTAATTGATATGCGTAAATCAATCTTTTTTTAAAAAATAAAAGTTAGAATTTAATTTTATCAATTATTTAATTAAAATATTTTATGTCCTGTTGATATGAAAGATAAAATTTATTTTTTGTAATTT